ATTATGTTACCAGTATATTTTTAATTTTACATATGTTTATTATACAGACTTGTAAAGCAGTATATGACAAAATAATCGACTTGAAAATTGCGACTCCTCAAATTATCATTAATTATGGACTATTTCTAGAAGAAAACAACTACTTTGAGGAAGCATTTAGAGTATGTTAAATATTTTTCTTAATTACACATACACATCTAGTAAATCTAATAATATTTTACAAAATTAATTTTATTTTTAGGCATATGAAAAAGGTATTGCATTGTTTAAGTGGCCTAATGTCTATGATATTTGGAATACATATCTCACAAAATTTTTGACTCGTTATGGTGGTACAAAATTAGAACGTACCAGGGATCTATTTGAGCAATGTTTAGAACATTGTCCACCAAAATATGCCAAAGGTATATAATTTGTCTTATAGATGATTTTACATCAATATTATATAAAAAGAGAATGATTAATCCCTTTTTATTACAGCCTTATATTTATTGTACGCAAAATTAGAAGAAGAACATGGCTTAGCAAGACACGCTATGTCTGTATATGAACGAGCGACAAATGCTGTTCTTCTGGAAGAGAAATTTGATGTAATATTTATATATATATATATGCTAATAGTTTATGCATAATCTTGAAACAATTCTTATGTAAAAAGATTTATACTTATAGATATGTATAGATGCAGTATACTTATATATTTTGCAGTCTTTTATTAATCTTTTGTGTATATATTGATTTCCAAATTTAAAAATTAATTTTTCAATTTGCAGATGTTCAATATATATATAAAGAAAGCTGCAGACATATATGGAGTGCCGAAAACTCGACAGATATACGAAAAGGCCATAGAAGACTTAAATGATGAGAATACTAGAGAAATGTGTTTACGATTCGCAGAAATGGAGACCAAATTAGGAGAAGTAGACAGAGCGAGAGCGATATACGCATATTGTAGTCAAATATGTAATCCAAGGGTATGCTGTGTTATATGTATTTATATTATATCGTAGTGGAAAAGACAGCGTTACACATACACACAGGCACACACACAGACAGACACACACACACACCAAAATCACTTTTTAATAATATTTATTTATTTTCAGATGTACCAATTGAAAAACGAACTATACCATCACAAGTATTTGGTAGTTTAAAAACAGTCGAAGATAAAGGTCAAATCAACATACCCAATAACGGTGTCAGTTTTCGGTGGTCTGTCCGAAAGATAAGTTCGCGCAATTATATAGTCAATATCAATATATAAGGTAAGTCACTAAAAATAGAATATATTTTTAAAAAACAAAGAATACATACACAATTTAAATACGTATACAATTTTAAGACAAAGAATTAATATATCTATAGCTGCCCCTTTTTATAAAATAGACCTTGGCGATGAGTACTTGTGTAGAAGATAGTGGGAGATCAAGAAAATGCACGCAGCTACTAGTTGCTGCAAAAGAAGGGGATATTCCCACAATAAAATGGCTAATTAATAATCGTGCCAATGTCAACACGCATTCTTTTTTTTATGGTCATACACCTTTAATGGAAGCAGCGAGTGCTGATCATATTGAAGCTGCCAAAATTTTACTTGACCGCGGTGCTGACATCCATGCTCATTCTAAATTTAAAGACTCGGCATTAACGTTAGCCTACAAAAAAAAACCATGTTCAGATGGTTTATTTTTTATTGGAAGCTGGCGCAGATGAGGTAAAGTATAATTTTTCTGTGGCTGTAATAAAATAACCATGTTCAGAATCTTATTTTTTTCTTTAATCATGTAATTAATCTGCAGAGCGAACTGCAACAATGTTTGGATCTGCGAAGTCCCATTGTAAATCAATCTCAGCAACAAGGAAGTACTATGCCATTGATCACCACTTCCTCGACAACCAGTCCGCGTCCGCCTACTACTTTTACTCCTCAATCCGGCATGGGGATGGCGGAACTGCAGCAGACACAGGCCACCATGTTGCATCAGCGTATTCAAGAACTGCTGCAACACAATGATGAATTATCACAAAGAAATAAAAATTTGGTTCAACAGAACCAACAGTTGGTGCAATTGATCCAACAATTGCGATTTCATTTAAACCAGGTGAAGTTCTAAATTTAAAAAAAATTGCATTAATAGTTTTTTTTTCGCCGCGTTGCATTCTCGGAAAGTCGTTCGCAAAAGTTAAGGCCGCACGATACGAGTATTATCTTAATAAAGTATCAAACGATTTTGTGCAAAATATTTTTTTTTGATTGAAAAATTAATACAATTCTATTTTAAATTATATATAGATTATGTTGATTTAATATTTTTAAAAAATTATTTTATAACAAATAAATTATAGATATATCTAAACATGAAATTTATTATGATAAAAGAACATTTTCTAATGTTATTGATTACTTATCTTATTAATCTTATTATGTTTTAATTAAGTTTTATTAAAAGAAAAATATATCTTCTCTGTTGCTATATTATTTATTTTTTAAAATAATCTTTACATAAAACAATATAAAATGTATTTTTAATATAAACGTGATTAAGTAATAGATTTACAATAAACCATATGAAAGAGAAAAAACTCTTGAAGTAAAATACACATTACTTAAAGAAATTAGTCACGCCTCGTATTTAAATGATATACTTGAGTAAGCTATCAGTGCGTTTTAAATCCTCTTTCGATACCGTAAGCATATGAAATTGAGGATCGAAAATCAAACAATCATTTAGCGAGCTGATGCGGAAAATGCAATCCGTGCATTTTCCTATGCGCTACTTATCGACGCGGTTCTCCCGCGTTCATCGAAAGACATTATTCCCAGGTTGGACGTGGTTCCCGAAATGCTTGTCGGAAATCCCTAAGCGCATTACAGCAGCCCGCGGTAGATAGAGAATACTGTACACCAACGTTGATGTAATTTTAATGAAGGAAGTGAGCTGTCGCCAAGCGGTAATTGCAAGTCAGTTCGCGTCTAGTCGGTTGGCGACACGCACAGTACCAACGAAATTTATTGATGCATCGACGTGGGCGGAAGAGATTCGCGACAGTGAAAGGCTTCGGTGGCAGGAACAAAAAGCGAATGACGAAGGAGAGTAAACGAGGGTGGCGGTGGTAGCTGAATGATAGTCTCTCTTAGAGTGTAGCTATTTTGGAGGGCCGAAATAAGCGGCGAGGCCCGAGGGCAAAAGAGAAAAAGGGGAGATCAAAATGCAGTATGTGAACAGAAAGAAATGAGGAGCCTTGTTGAAAAAGCGGTAGACATGGCAGGTGCAAGCGGAAAAGATAGATAGAAAGAGAGAAAGCGAGACAGAGAGAGATAGAGAGTAGCGAGAGTTTACCTTGTAAGAGACGGAAGGAGAGAGACGAGAAGGACGAAACAGAGTTTCGGAGTTTGAAGGACCTCATGGCTCATGGTAGGTAGTTCGGTGCTTGCCGTTGAGGTATCTATAGAAGCGCACGTGTCTGCATAAATGCGTATCTATGATACGTCTGTGTGCACGTGGGATACGCTTGTGTGAGCGAGCGTTGGCGAACTCGGCTGGGTCGACGGAGACGAATCCGGCACGCTGTATACACCCGGTACATCGACCTGGAATGCGAATTTAATCTGCGCGCATCAAACTTCCATTCGCTTCCAGGGTGGACCGACCGACCAACCGACCGCTCGGCGTCGTCGACGGCGTCGCGACACCCTAACTTCGAAATGAAAGGCGTGAATATTTTCGCGCGGCTAATTTAGTCGCTCCCACTCCGTGTATCTCGCTCGTTCGAGATTTCGTTATCGATCGTATATTCCGGCGGGCGTTGCCGCAGGAATCATCGCTTAATGCGAGCAATATCGCGTTCACGGCTGCGCTCGGTGCCGTGCATTTACCTGTCGTTTCGCACTTTGAGATGCAAAACGAGTTTGCCTCTGCTACCGTGTCGATTAACTGTGTGCCGAGGGGGAGAAAGCGACGAAGCATCCGCGTGCATTTCGCGCGAAACGCGAAAAGTTAAACTATTTTCGCGGATAATTGATAATTTGCCATTGAAGCGAACTCGGATATGAACAAAGAGAAGCTGGAGATCATTAGCCAGCGTACTAATTACGAGTAAATTATTTAACACTTTCACACTCTGCTCGCTCTCAAATGAGGACGTGCATTTAAAATTATGTTCTTTAATTATTATTAAGTTTAATTATCTCGTTATTCCCGGTATTTGCGCAAGTATATTATCGCTGTATAAAATGAGTCGTTCGCTCTAAAAGCATTTTGAAAAAATAATTTTGCTCTCTTTCCCGACGTAAAAATACGCGAATCATATAGAATATTTTATGAAATTCCATATATCCCCTTTCCCCTATACGCTTTAATATACTCTGTATAAAATGACAATTTTTTTGTATTATATGTATATATATCCAAAAAAAAATTACAAATTTTTCTTGGATTCTAAATTTATATTCTAATTATCTATTTGTGTGTAATTTTGAAATTTATTTTTATTATATAAATGCGACAAAAAATCTGGTAAAATATATTACGCAATTTCTTGTAGATTAAAATATTCGCACTTTTTTAAAATTCTATCTGTATGTTATATTGGCACGCGATTCTCGGTTATCTGTCTTTCTGCATAGTTGCAAGATAAATAGCGATTTATTCTACAACTTTGCTTCTGCAGTTTTCCATTTACTTTCCTCGCGTAGAATCTACGCTGCTAACAAGCTGTCGAGACTTAGAAACGCACACACTTGCGGCAAGGAATCGACGCGATCAACGTTTACGAAAATCGAGTCACGACATACGAAAATCGAAGAGATGGACACGAGAATAAATCTTTCCCAAGTCCCGTTCTTTCTCGACGAAAACTGCATACTTATGTGTGTACATAAGGATGAACGGAAAAGTCGTCCTTCTTGTTTGTTTGTCTTTTCTTCCTGTCCTCCATCCCATTCCCGATGCAACCGGAGCAAGAATTTTGTCTCGAAATATTTTTGGATGGCAGCCATTGATGTCTACGGTTTCTTAAGAAGATTTGCCGTGTTGGAAGATTTGAGAGTGTCGTGCAATTGTATATCTATTTCCTTTTCTTTTGTCTCAACTAGCGAAACGCGATCTCTTCTGGATCTTGGCTGCGCTCTCACACACGATTAACGTATGCCAAGAATATATTATCCCCCGCTGTTTGACGACTTTCTGCAGCGCAGTATTCATGCTTCGATTCACAGTGTTCGCGAAAGGACAAAGTGCTAATGTAATTTGCAATATTTTAATATTAAGAAGGCAAGAACACAGGAAATAGAGAGACAGAAATTTTAACAAGAATAATTATTATTCTGAGAATGTGAAATAAATAAAAGCTATATTATTTTTAACGCTTCAACTAATTAATTTCTATATATATAATCTTATAAATAATCTCGCTAAGAGAGGATGACTCGAGTAGGGATCAGAATTGGTACCGCTGCTGAACACAATTTCTGGGAATACTATTTTAAGTACTGTCCTACGCATATCTATACCTGAGATGAAACTTGTTTTAACATCCTCGCTTTCATTAATTTCTGTTTTTTGTGAGAATGAGAGCGAGTGCGGAAATATTAAATAAGACAAATGATCCGCTAAGAAGGTAATGTATATGTCAAATCGGATATGAAAAAGATTTAATTTGGCGTAAGAGAATCGCGTTCTTCTACTCGGAATTTAATTCCTAGCAGAAATTAATGTAGTGCGAACACGCTTTTCACTTCCCATCGCGAGAATGTGTGACACCAAGCGATTCGATATTGGCGACCATTGTCTCTTCTCCCTCCCGCTCCCGTACTTGCAAATTGTACGGAAAACGTAATTACGCCGGTAACATTAATTAGGAGTACAGTTAAATTATCTTCGACCCGATCTATATCTCCACACAGTTTTCCCCTGGCATTCACTCTCTTTCTCCCTCTCTTTCTCTCCTTCTTTCTTTCTTTTCGCCCTGTGATACACAGTCGTGATTATTTTTGTAACGATGCTATTTCTCCGTGTGCTGCATCGTGAAAATCTACGAGAAGATACCGGCGCACGCAAGGCTCCTTTCTATAAATTGCAGTTACAACGGTAGAAGACGTAATTTCATCGTATTTAATAACGTTACTCGAGAAAAAAAAAAGCACAAAGAAAGCAGTACGAAATAATCAAAGTCATGAAATTTTCTCTTGAAAAATTGTCTTAAATTAATTAAAGATTACAACGATTATTGGATATCAGCTTTCATTTCCTACAGTTTGCAGTCACGAACGTTCGGCTATCTTTACCGTACATCTCAAATGATTTATGCATTTTCATAATTATCCGTATTTTCAAGAGTGTCAGGAGACTGAGATATGAATCGTGCCCTGCGCGGAACATCTGGCGAATCTAGGTTAATCGCGTTTCAGTGAAAAGTGCGGCAACGATCACGCATAATGGCTTAAATACAGTCGTGCGTAATGGAAATATAATTTCGCGTTAAAGGGGCTGGCGAACTAAAAAAAAAGTAGCGCTGAAACGCCTCACGTCCTGATAATTTAATGGTGCCGTTCAATTTACTGCACATTTTGCGTCGCAGCTGCTGGTATTTTTTATCTATCGTGATGTTTCATTTTTGAACATTATTTTCGAGGACGAAGCAGCTGCGACTATCGAAGGGCGCGATGATACTGTCTCTCATTAAGATGAATCAATCAAAAGGACTATATCGTCATTGAAGAATGTGATATTCAATTTAGATCATTACACATCCTAGAGAGAGATATCTGATTTTCGGAAATAATAAGTTACTAATAAGGCTTTTACGATAGTGTAAATATCGGTCTATAATGAACTCTTGATATTTATATATTTATTAATAACAGATAAACGTCGCGGGATATAAATTCTCTTACTTTCTATATGTATAATTATTAATTTTATATGACGATTATATACAAAGAAGATAAAAGGCAATTATTTTATATGAAATATAAGAAAATCCATACAAAAATATCTTTATTTTATATATATATATA